CCTCCCCCCCCCCCCCCCTCCCCCAATTAATCGTCTGCTTACTACTTATGAAGAAAGGGGAAAAATGAAGGGGAACATTTTAGGTGAGGGCACATCCACCATTTCACCCATTTCGAATATATGCTGGTATTGTTTACGATTTTCAGAGGGGGTTGGGAGTTGCCGGTTCTCTGCACACTATTGTTAAAAGTCTATCCAATGTAGACAGGTGTTGTCACAACTGAAGAGGGGATTCTAGCAAATGATGGTTTATCTTTTGCCTTTTTTTAGGAAATTGAGTCCCGGTATTTGTTTTGGGGCCAGTTATGCTTATCCGGTAGAGGTGGGGTGAGGCACGGTGTTTTTCACTGTTATGCAAACATTCACGTGTGATTGTCAGCGTTGAATTTCCCATTTATTTCCCCAAATTTCTTTGAGGGTGAGAATGCACGATTTTTGGGAATCAACTTAGTTGGCTATTTCGGCTGTGATATCCCGATCGGACCAGTGACTCGCCTTCTAGTCGATTTGCATTAGCCATGAATTTGTGTGTATCTAATCCTCGTTATTCCCTAAATGCTTGAAAAACGTTTTAATCTAAGAACATTTTGTTTAGGTTTTACACAATCGAAGTCAAATTAGTCCACTTTTCTTATCGATTTAAACAATTGTATGAAATAAATTAATCACCACCTTAGGTGTATGGTCCGCGCTCGATCGTACTCTCTTTTCTTACTTTTTTTATCAAAAAATTAACAGCCTCAATTATTACTTCTTCGTCTTCTAGATGTCAAGTCGAGAGAGAGCGCATTTTCAAGGCAGGGACCTGTACTATTTTGACGCAACCCTTGAAGGCAACCTCTCACTTGGTTGTCAACGTGATCAAGTTGTATTGATATGTACATACGGACCACTTTTTCACATGAAACTCATTCCAACTAGATGCAAGAGTTCAGGTAAGAAGTTACTTATAACCGAAATAAATCTATCCTTATTAACGTTGTATTGCATGACCAGCAGCTTCACTATTAGGGGTTTAAATAATGTTTGGAAACTTTGAGAAAAGTGTTATTAATACTTGCCGTAAGTAGGGGTTGAGTTTCCTAGAATCGATCGTACTGGAAATTCATTCAATCATCTCGTTTTTACGGAAATCAACCACCCACACTCGATGGATTTACATTAATGTGAACCAAACTCGTGGTCACGGACTTAGCAGGCGTGGATGTTGATCTATGACCGGGGTTATCTAAAAATCCGCCCATGATGGCTTATTCGAGTGGGTGGTTATTCGTTCCAAAAAAACAGTTTCATGAAATGTAATTTTCCGTGTAACCACTGGGCGGATTTTCGAAAAACGCTCATGGGAGAACAAGTTTTCAACTGAATTTCAAGTATTACTTGAATTTCTCTTGCTTAAATTTTTTTTTCATATATTAAATAACAGGGGTCTTACGTTTTATCTGAATTTATAATTTTTAAAATCCTTTATCAATCTAGACTAAACGTGCCAACTCTTAGTGGATTTCTAAACCCCTGGGACGAAAAGTATAAGGAATACATTATCATGAACCTGCATGTCCCATCGAAGATATTACTCCCTTATATTGCCCCCCCCCCCTAAAAATATTGATTTAAGTCTAAAAACGAACTGCACTTGAGAAAGCACTTTCATCGAGTAATCGGACGAGTTATTCAATCGATAATTCCTCTAAGTTTGTATAATACGCGTTCTGGTATTGTGGCAAGCTATCACTAAACTCACCCCTAATATACATGTTAGTACAATCTGAAAAGTCTGCCTAACTCATCAGAAGTCTTAACTTGAGTAGAGGCTCCAGGAGCCACGGATGATGGATTCACGTTCTACCACTTCTCCCTGTTTTCGACCGCTCATGTCACTGGGTGTGAACTAATGAATTCTGCTCCTATGATCTCTGCCTTTGCTGGGAACCATTTGTTCACTGCGCTACCGGCAAGAATTCAAATCAAATTGTGAATTTATTGCTCATAGTATCCTTGTTTTAATGCTTGAGAATTGAGACTTTTTTGGAATATTTGCTTAATGAAAAGCAAGATACTTTTAAGATCAAGGAATGTGCAAGAAATCAGGTGTAGCAAAGGTTGGAGCGTCTAACACACAGGTTAATTTTTTAATTCATGATATGGTGAGAAATGCAACCCTTTCGAATTTTTCGTTAAATTTGAGGAATATATATTTTTTTCAGAGATAGATGATGATCAATTCTTACCCAATTACTTATTTTCCTTTGTCAGATAAAAGTGCTGACTACATTGATCCAGGATCCAAGCGGATTCGAATTATTGCGTCCTGTCCTGTCCTCTCCTGAAATGTTACTCCATTTCTCGAGAGCTATTACTAACCTAGACACCTTTAAGCAAGCTCCATACGTGGTCTCTGTCGTCATTGTGGGCTAGTTCACGTTCAAAATTCTTCCCTTCCGATTCCTTTTATATTGTGATATTGACCGTCGGGCTTTTGAATTCCTTGTATTGAGAATGGATGTATGAGTCCTCCGAAATTGCACACAGATGCTTTGTGCGATACCAATAAAAGATGGCTTTGTGGAAGAAGTAGGACTATTGTAATAATTAAAACACCTGCACCCCCCCCAGTCTTATTAGAGGTGGGAGTGACTAAAATGTCAGTTGCAAAACTATTACAAAGCACTCTTAGGTATTGAATTAACCTATTATTCCTTCCCATTGAGATCATCATAATGGGAAGACAAATGTTCTAGTTCGACGTGGTTGAAGATTCATCTCAGCAAGTGCACGTTCGGATTGATGCAAGACCATCCACATATGTCACGCCAAAATTCAAAGCCAATGTTGTACAGGAGAGATTTGATCGGTGTTTGCGTAAATAGGAAAGTCGGGTGAAAGGCTATTTTGTCAAGACCGATTCAAAGCTCCTAGAGCTTCCATATTCCTCTCGTGTTATATCATGAGAGCAAAAGTTTAATAAAGACATTCATGTCTTGCCATGTTTGTCAGACTTGAATGAACTAACTAAGTTAGCTATTTTAAGTCGAAACCATATGATAGGCCTTGGGCACTCTGCTATTTGAATACAACAATTACTATCATTGCAATCTGAATCTTTTTTTCCAGATGCCGTCGACATGAAACTTCTCTTCATCACTCTTGGGATTGCGATTCCTTTTATTGTCGTAATATTAATTGCGGGTATCTGGTGGTATCGACGTAGAAACTCGTACAGAGAGATTGTCTGGAAGACGGTCGATTCTTACATCGATTTCTACATGATTCAAAGTAGTCTACACACCTCGCCTTTGCCGCCACAAACTAAGAGTTCGGAAAGGTCCAATAAGAAGAAATCGAAATCCGTATTCAGGAGGACAAAAAAGCACTCAAAATTGGGCGATGCTCAGTGGTCACCACCTGCCAACCAATTGAGACTGGAAGAGCGCATTGCTAATGGCAGCTATGGTGATGTATTCTGTGGAACTCTGTTGACACTGATGGCTTCTAATGGAAAGAAAGGCAACGAGAAAATGGTGGAAGAACAAATTGTAGCTAAGGTTTTGAATGGTGAGTGTTGGAACTCCTAATTTCACATTTTTATGTGCAGGCCTTTCATTTGCTTTTACTTCGTTCACTTCAAGACGTCTATTCGAAAAGAAATATGATGGAGTTTGCTAATGAAGTTGCCATTCTTCGAATCATTGGAGTTCACCCAAATATCATCCAATTTATGGGCTGTGCGAAAGAAAGTAGTAAGCTATGTTTACTAAGATTCCTGTTTCAAAAAATTTACGATTTGCCACATTTTTTCTAATTATTTACTAGTCAGTTTAATAAAGTTAATTTAGTGTAAAATATAGGAGAAACTTAGCGATATGTTTCCAATAAGTAGATGGGACTAATTTAATAACCCATTCAGCAATATGAGCGATTCACTTACCTCCACATGGTGCACCCTGGGCAACGTATACTCTTACGAAAAAAAGTCTATTAACCTGCAGTTGACTTCTGACTTCAAGCTATCATGGCCCCACTGTATGTCATATTCAACTACTCTCTCAGTACTCACCTTATCTTTTACATCTTTGAAACACTCTTCTGCTCCCCCCCCCCCACCCTCCTATTTGTGCCATTGATGTTCATCTCCTCTGTGAAGCTCGAAGTCAACTAAAGGACTAATGATAACAATCATAAGGCCTGTCATTTAGTATTAATAGATAATACGACCTTAGTTCACTATGATAGGAGGTCTTTATTGAAGTTGAATAGATAGGTGCCGATAACAATTAGCTGAAATCGTAATCTGTTTAGGGCTTTAGGGAAAAATTTCGATGCCCTACCCATGGGTCGGAAAGACGTTTCATCCATGCTAGAAAGAAATGAAATGGAAAAAAATCGAAGCACGACTCCCAATAACATATACTATATAGAGAAGTAATTAAATTATCACTCAAAGATGTTGCATTTTTGCAAAATATTTTCCTCTAGGCCAATCTTGGCCGTGATTTTATCCGTACCTTTCATCATGATTCATTTTGTTACCTAAAGGGTAGATGAATCACTGCATAACTTGGCATCACTTATTACCACTTGTCATTTTTTTAATTTCTGATGGTCGAATCTTGCTTTCTTTAAGATCTAGGAAAATTGCCAGTATTGTTGATGGAGTTTGCTTCGCGAGGCACGCTTCTCAATTACCTACTCTCTATTCCGCCAAATCGGAATGCTTCCTTCTTGGAAATCAAATTGGCCTATTGGTGGACACGAGCCAGATGGCTTATTAAGGATCTCTTAAACTTCGCAATTGATATTGCCAATGCCCTACTCTACTTGGAGAGTATTGCAGTGTGTTTTGCATTCCGTTCTATATCAATTATAAAATGAAAATCCCGAGATATTGGTGATAATGACCGATTTGTGTATTTGTTAGGTGTCTCACGGCGATATCGCAGCTCGTAATGTCTTGCTGACTAGCTCTCTTACAGCGAAACTAGGTGACTTTGGATTGGCTTGTGTCATCCCTCACGAGAAATCTATCGCTCAACCGGTAAGACCCGATAAGTCTTGACCAATTTTTATTCCTCCCCTAAAGAATGCGTCCGTTTGCTTAGATATATATATATCACAGTATGTGCCACACTAATAGCACGATCGGTGGGGTAGAATAACTTGTCGTCATTTTTTATGCCTTCTCAAGAAATCCGCACCCAGCCCTCTAAAGTACTTTAAACAACCTCACACCACCTGCATATTTTATATGCGTGCATGAAGCGTTTTGTTAGTTCTTTTTCTTAATTTGTTGAATGAGCAAGAATGAAAGATGTCTTCAGTGAAATATTTATTTATTTATTTATATTAAATGGCAGGCGTTTTGATGGTTAACATTAGCCCTTTAGTCGACTTCAGGCTTCACAGAGGGGAAAGAACATCAAAATGAAAAAAGTTGAGAAAAGAAAGGGGGGGGACAGAAGAGTGTTTCAAAGACGAAGGTAGAAAAAAGGTGGGATGAGTGCTGTGAAAGGGGTCGGATATGACATACAGTGGGGTGATGGTAGTTTGAAGTCAGAAGTCAACTGTCGATAAATAGATTTTTTGCGGTATGCGTATACGTTGCCCAGGGTGCACCACGTGGAGGCAAGTCTATCGCACACCCCCTTCAGTGAAATATGATGGCACTGAATTTTGGGGCAGCTGTGTGTTCACTAGATTTCCTCATATTAATTCATTATAAGTTTGTAGTTCTTTCGAGCAATCCAAGCTCTAATTAAAGACGCAACTTTTCAAGAATTTGTTTGGAAGAGAAAAGGCGTTCCCTTTATTCGTCTATATTTTAGGGGTTAATTAATTGTGATCAGATTCGATGGAGTCTAGCTCTGAAAATCCAAGAATATGCCTGCTTCCCTTCCTTCGTACAACATAATTTGGAATTTTTCCTTAGTTGACATGCTCGTATCGATTCAAATTATTGTTTAATTATTTTTGGGTAGTGTGTTCTTAAGTCTCCTGCCCAATGCGCAGCATTTGAAGATAATTCCCACAGAAAGATCTCCTACACAACTTTGCGTATGTTGCATATACATATCCCTGTTTCCACAATGTGGTATGTGCAGCCGAATAACAATTAAATGCCTTCTCTAGTTATCTTCGTCTTCGCAATGTTTGTCGAGAATTGTTGTATGAAAGTCTTACTTTTTTACTTAAGGAGTATAGCTGTGTGAATTAAATTCAATCGCGAAGTACATTTTTCCAGTTTTAAACCATGAAATTGAAGTAGTGGCATTGAAGCAAAAACAGACTTATTAGCGCACTTCGATTTTTACGAGTTTAAAATAATGGAATGCCAACTTTTGTGAAGTACACCTTGTGAATGACCCGTTATGAGTAACTTAACTCCGTTAAATCGTGTTGAATCCTATCGTATTTTAAAACAATTCCCTTAGTTATGTTGCCAATTAACAACTGCCCTGGAACTGTAAAGACAGGACTGCAGTATGAGTCCTTTCAGGCGCACATTTTCTCTGCAATCAAATCATCCTGAATTGGATTGTGAACGAGGGAGGAGGGGGGGGGGACATTTTGGTAGAAGGTGCAAATAGATGTGAAACTTTGAGCGTGTGTTTACGCCTTCGTCAACTTTGCCTTGAATGCTTAACTCCAACGAACGTGCTTTGAAATCATCAAGGAACGAAGCTTAAAGCTGTGTTCAGAAGCATAAGCCAGTTATTACTTCCCTTTAGATATTACTATTAACGCTTATTAGAATATAGTTAACTTGACTTTACACACCTAAATGTGGTGCCACCTTCTACGACATTTGTTAGCATTAACATTGCAAGTGGAATTATTTGCGCATCCCCTAACAGATACTAATTGATTTATGCTTGCCTACAAATATTCTCCAAAATTAATATTATAATAATAAGATTGCTAATTCTTCTACATTTTGTTCCAGAAAACTACTATTTACGTCTTGCACAAAACATTCCTCATGGGGAAGGAGTTTGCATAATTTGATTGGAGGGCAAGGTGGGGGGGGGGGAGTTTTTGGCATTGAAAGACAAGCTTTGTCTAATCAGCTGTCTAAATGGTCTTTTAACTAGGTTCGATTGGAGTCTGATCTTGGAGGCCATTGAGGAGGGGACTAGGATTTGATATCAATTCTCTTAAATAAGTATTTCCGTTTGATCCCACTGATATCACGAAATTGACTATTTAACAAGATGCGCTTCTCAAAGCTTATAGCTTTCGGAATGCTACAGTACAATAAAAAGTTGGAAAAGTTAGCGAATATTAAGATGAAAACTGCAAAAATATGCTGATGACAATTGTTTGTTTCCCATGTCTCCATACTCAACTCATTGGCACTTGAATGCTATACTTCTCGTTACCCAATTTTAACTCACTGCGTTATATTACTAGAATTTGGGGTGTACGATAGACTTACCTCCACGTGGTGCACCCTGGGCAACGTATACTCATACGGCAAAAAGGTCTATTACCTGGCAGTTGACTTCAAACTACCATGACCCCACTGTATGTCATATTCGACTACTTTCACAGTACTCATCCCACCTTTTCTCCACCTTATCTACCTTCGTCTTTGATACACTCTTCTGTTTCCCCCCCCCCTCTTGAACTTTTAAATTTTGATGTTCCTTCCCCTCTGTGAAGACTGAAGTGAACTAAAGGGCTAATGATAACAATCAAAACGCCTGCCATTTGATATAATAATAATAATAAATAATATTGCTAGAATTAAAAAGAATTTAGCAGCAGCTATATGTCCTCCCGTGGGTATAGGTTAGAATTTAAATCGATTTAATTTCGGATCCTTCTAACCTCCAGTAGTCGCTTTGCATTTAAAGTGCTCAACGAGCAATTCTACTTCACTCTGTCATTAAAAGGTGTGCGAGACAATGGCAAATATACGGTATTCGTTGTGTATGAAGGTTTGTACAAGGTCTAGTTGCCGACTCATTAAACAACAGTAGGGCATTGTTTCATTGCAAAGAGCTTCATCGACTCAATTCCAGCTTCAAATCATCCAGCTCTCTCGGCCGATTGCCAAAATTTAGTTCTTCATGGTTTCCAAAATGGGGTTTCATCTCACGGAGAGCCAAATTCGAGTATTCTTTTTGTACAGTTAAGTTTTGAACTCGCATCTTATTGGTGATTGTAAACAGCCTACATTGGATCTCACGATTACCGCCTTTCACAGCGAAGTAAACGCTTGCTATTTTCAATTATGGAGAGGCATCTCAGCACTCGAAGGGAGACATAGGTTGTGATGGAGAGAGTGGGTTGAAGAAACAGTGGTCATGATGTACGTCCGCTAAGGCTCAGTGCACGCTAATATCTGTGTTGGCGATCAGTCTTCAATTTGAGGCATTCTGGGTTCGAACGTCTCCTAAAAACAGTTCCGCGATATCCTTCTTCTAATCAAATTAAAAGCAATGAGCACTTATCCCGATGGAGTAAAGAATAGTCATTGTAATTTTAATTCTAGATTTATCCGCCTAAAGGGTGTTTGGTAATGACTGTAAGTTTGGTATCTCTAATCTAGAACTTGATGATATTGACTGGCTGTTCATACTATTCCAATATGTTGAAATTCAATTCGCTCTGTTATGCATTTTTGCATCACCCAGCTATTTCGCAAGCGAAAATTGATTTGTTTATTGGGTGACTGAATAACTACGTAAACGGTATTAGTTTAGATGTATTGATATAAATGTCGATAGTTAATTAATTTACTTTCTCTTCAGCCCTCCAAGAGATTTCCCATACGCTGGTCCGCTCCAGAAGTAATACTATCGAACCTTCGTCATGTTCGCAGTGATGTATGGTCCTTTGGTGTCTTGTTATGGGAAATTTTCAGCTTTGGCGAAACCCCCTATGCTCATATTGATTCTGAAGAGGCAGTTGGAACCTACGTGAGTATTGAAGGGGGCCGACTCTGTCGACCATTAATCATTGCTGATGGCGACCTCTATGCATTGATGAAAGGCTGTTGGAATAAATCTGTGGAGCATCGGCCCAGCTTTCAATCACTGCTTGAGAGCTTGAAACTTACCGCAAAAGAGGCAATCGAGTCAAGTGTTCATTCGAGCTTTGGTTCGGCTGACGAAAATCTTTCAATTCAGGTACTAAATTCCCCCCCCCCCCCCCAATTGCTTCGTTTAAAATAAATGGTCAATCTGTTTGACTTTTAAATATATTTACTTTTTTTAACAGTCATATCTTCCAATGGACGCATAGTTCGGATCATTTTGATATTCCCGTTTTGCAGCCTGGAATTGATCCATGACATCCTACGCAGCTATTTAACATACGTAATAATTACTGTATCATTGGAAAACTTTTATTTAATAAAATATATTACCTTTTGTTTTTTAATAACTGTTGAATCTGCTTGTGGCTATAGGGAAAACTGTACCGCAGTGATGGTGAAGGCATCAAAACAGACGTCTGCAAAGGCAGAGACACTAGATTACTGCCTAAGGGACAAATACAGTGTATTGTCTGTTAGTCACTATCGGCAATTCCGGTCAACAATAGAGGTGGTAGAATGTGGGCTTCCTATAGGAGCAGCTTCACGGTGCCCTCCTTCTAACCAAGTCAAGTGCTGTGAACACTTGTCCTAGAGAGCTTGAGGCGTTTCGTGTCGACCTCTATCGTAAAATCTTTTGGGCTAGCATCACGTTAGGTGGGAGATGTAACGCGTTAACAGCGATGTTGATTTAAATGTAAATTGGTAATGCGGTCTAGCCAACACATGAAGCTTATGGTTTCATTCGAGTGCACCAAAAATGAATCGATTAGGTTGGAATTGTGTAAACCTAGTGGGGAGGTACGCGAGAGTGTTAGATGTAAGATGAATTTTCTAGGTGATCGATAAAAGTCGATGGCATTGGTACCTACCTGGAGTCCTGATTGTAACTTTATTGGGTTGTGAATTTCTTATAAGAATGTTCGGTAACGGAACAATTATGAAATAGCATGGCAGTTTCAGCGGATCTGCTTCTTGTGTGGATTCGGAAAATCTATTGATTTCTTGGCAGCAATTAATTGGAGAAGAAACTATGTGTGTTCTAAACGCGAAATACCATACCAATGGGCTTTAATAAAGCAAACAGGAAAGAGGGATATGGCTTGAATGTTGAAGCAGCCACTTTCCATTTGACTGAATAGGCATCTACTTTGCACGTCGCTTCCGCCATTCCCCGAACTCATGTGGCTCGTAAATGGATGTACTTAGATTGGTTCAAGGTCATATTTTCAAATGCTTTTACTTGTTATATTCCTACCTTCCCAGCTCATTGAGAATATGGTGGATATATTACCAGAGTTTTGTAGAAATTTTTTCTCCAACGACTAGATGATATGATTATTTCGAGTGTTAATAGTTTGATAGTTAGTCGATAGTGTAAGAGAATTGTAGCTAATGTGAGTATTCGTGCCCTATATGTCAGAACCGAAGATATTTCATACGGGAAAGTAAAAAATTAGCCAGAAGGACAATTAAAGGCAAATCTCCCACCTCTCTGCCTAATTTAGGAGTCTGCTTATTTTGTTATTTTTTTCCGAAGAAACTACAATGCCACAACAGAGGTCGATAAAATCCGTCAGATCAAATTGAGAGAAGATCGTCGATTTATTAAGCGTATTTTATGTAGAATTAGGTCTTTTGTTATCCATTCGACTCATGAAATAGCCCCTAGTAAATAAAATCAACTCCAAAATTATTTAACAGAGCAATCTGGCTATTTGGCACATCTGAGCAAACATTTATTTATTTATATCAAATGACAGGCTTTATGATGGTTATTATTAGCTCTTTAATTGACTTTGGGCTTCACAGAGAGGAGGAAGAACATCAAAGTCACAAAAGTCGAGAGAGGGAACAGAAGAGTGATTCAAAGATTTAAAAGCGACAGACAGGCACAATGGTAGAGAAAAAGGTAAGGTGAGTACTGTGAAGGGGTCGAATATGACATACAGTGGGGTCATGGTAGTTTGAAGTCAGAAGTCAACTGTCGATTAATAGACTTTTTTGCCATATGAGTATACGTTGCCCAGGTTGCACCATGTGGAGATAAGCCTATTGCGCATCCCTTTAAGCAAACAAAAATTTGATAACTAAACGACCCTTTAACGCCCTTAGGACCGAACAGTTCTCTTAACTGTTGATTGGCGTCTTGATAATGTTAATGATAACTATTGAGCGGGTTTCATTTATAACCACACAATTCCCATGGTAATAAATTATCAACCGTTAATTGAAGCCGACAAAATACCCACGTAACTTACCTACTTTACCCCACCGCCCCACCCCCTCCTAGTCAGTCATGGTTTTACCCGTACTTAAAAATGTACTTTTAGTACACTGATATTAATCAAGTGTGCGAGCCAGTGAGGAAATTCAAAATGGGAGATGTAAATTTCTCTAGTAGGGAGTGCTAATGCACAACTTCAATCAATACTTTGGTGGCTTGGCAATTAGATTTGGTGTCCTAGTTAAAAGGTAACTGATTGGACTACTGATTTATGAAGGTCTTTTTTCAAAGTCGGAGAAATTGTTTCATTTATTATAATTCCTATTCAAATGACAGACCGCGATAATCAGTCTGTTCATGTAAAATAGGTAATGGAATCGCCACAGACTCACCTCCACGTGGTGCACCCTCGGCAAAGCAGTCCATTAACCGGTAGTTGACTTCCGACTTCAAACTACCATGACCCCACTGTCATATTCAACGCCTTTCACTGTACTCAACCTAACTTGCCTTTGTGCCTACCTCTTAGATATGTGAAGCACTCTTCTCTTCCCCACCACTCGACTTTTGTGACATGATGTTCCTCCTCCCCTCTGTGACGCCCGAAGTCAACTAAAGACTAATGATAACTATCATACAGCCCGCCAGTTGATATAAATAAAAAAAGCTGACTTTAGTCGCTTTGACAAGTTTAATGAAAAAGGCCTTAATCGACTCTCCAAGGCAAAAGCAACAAAATAAATAAATGACCCGATGATAGGCCCAAAATTCTGGCCCAGATAAAATGCCTCAAACTCAGGTATTTACACAAAAAGACAGGTATTTATTAGGGGACAAATACATTACAAAGCGGGTTCTGATTTTATTCCAAACGGCGGAAAACCGGGGACTCTGGTGACGGCGGCAATCTCTTTGGGAGCTTTCAACTTCTTCTCTGACAAGATTCGTACAACAGAGTTCAATTCGGTAAGGAGACGCCGCATCTCCTTTATGCCAACTGTTCGTTGAGTTAAGTACTACAAAAAATTAGAGGGAAATCGCGGTCAATCGCTTTGTCAACGATAAGAATAGCAAATTTCGAATAAAGAGAGAGGTTTATTAAAATTTCCAAATCACGGACATATCTACATCCTTAAGTGGAGAACAGTAATTGCTAATTCTGGCCAGCATTAAAAAAGATGGTGGAATGTAAGTTTCCGATAAGAACGACTCCAGTATATCTACTCTCAACTCAGATGACAGGCTTACTGACATTGACTAACAAGATAGACATCATTTAGGAACAGACCGAGCCGGGGTTAATTTAGATATAGAACGACCGGAAATACGAACTCCTCAAAGAACACTATGTTTTCTTAACTTTAAACGGCTATTTTTGAGATAACAACTTGAGAAATTTTATGTTAACCAAACAAAAGCCTTGCTTTCAAACATCTATGAAGATAATATTGCCATGCTGAATTCATTTAATTCAATAGGAAGAGAAAATCAGCTTTTTAAACAAATAAGATGTCGAAAAAACGTGAAAATGACTAATTTGTTAAATAATTTTTGTCAGGACAAATTTTATTAAACTACTATGTGGATCCTTTTCACTTACGTTCCAAATAGTGTTTAATTATTAACTTGTTTGTGTGAATTAATCTGAATCAAGTGATGCTGTAAGCAGTTCGAAATTAACCGTCCTAACGAGAACCTATTTCTCTCTTTTCTCATACTTAGAATATCAGATAAAGTCGGTGACGAAAGATTTCGAATATTTATAAAAATGGAACTCTGGACAGGGTTGGATTCCTACTTTCGACGAAATCTTCTTAATTCTCTAAATTATTGAGGAAGTCATTTAAAATCTAAAATAGTTACAGTTTTGCACTTAAATACTAAAACCATGATCAAGTTTCCAGATAAAAGCCATATAATCTGCACAGTTCTTGAAAGAAAACTACCCACATGAGAAATTAACATGAATAAAGATGTGATTAAGCCAAATGTTTCTTTAAAAATCTTAAAATTGTGGATTTTAATGATAACTCTATATACTGACGATGGAAAATCCACGACAAGATCCAGTTTAAGCATAATGAAGCAAGTTTAACTCATATTTAGACTCATAATGAACCGATACCATTGAGTCCGAAAGCAAATTTAAATCCTCCCTTAAGGAAACGGGAAACCACTTTCAACAGAAAGGTACGAACAAAACCAGTGGAACGTTAGCCCTAGTGTGGTGCATAGAATGATATAATAGGAATGGAACCATGATTACCTACCTCTTTCAAATCATCCACTACATCTGGATGCTGCCACCAGGCTGCTGCACCACCCGTAAAATCGCAACCATCTGAACCATCCACCTGCTGTTTCTTGGCCGCATCATTGGCAGACGTCTTCGAGCTGCGAACAGAAGGCAAGAGTTGCTGAATACGTGCTCGCAGACCCCGAGGACCTGCAATTTCTGCCCATGTATGCTCTAAAGCGCAACGCAAAGCTTCTTCCTCGGCGCTAATAGCAAACCCAGCACGACGTGATACAGTTTGTTTAGCTAGGAGCTAAGTAAACAAATAAAATGCTACTAATAAGAGTTAAGTAGAAACAATAAGTTGTGATCCATGAAAATATCTACCTTGAGAACGCGATGATTGAGCTCAATTTGTTTTCGCTTGATTTCAGAGAGCTTTTGTGTGCTAGATAACTGTTGAGTTTGAAGATTTGTGGCGACGGAAAGTAGTTGCTAAAAGGTAAAATAAACAATAGTTGAGCATAGAGTAACCAATAAAAAATATTAAAGTTACTGAAAAAAATTCTTTATAAACTCCAACCAATAACAACTATGGGCGAAAACAACGGTGGATAGATGTTGTTTCTTCTAGTTGGGAACGACTAATTTTAAGTCAGCTGAAAAACAATGGCTAATCTGCAAAAAGTTTGGACAGTATAACCCTATCGATTATTTATAAAGGTTGACAGTAATAAAATAAAAACTATTTATTTTAGTTGAATATGGAGCAATAATAGCACAGCAGTTTAATAACAAAAAGCACTTGATATTTGAAAAAAGTAGTAGGATCGACAAACTTCTCTTGCTAGAAAGTAAAAATGTAGCCAATAATTCAATTACATAAAGAAGTTCAAAAAAACGTAGAAGTACTCAAATTAGGAAATTGACCAACCTTAACGGACTTCCGCTGCTGTTCACCAAACAGAAGCTGTTCATCACGTCTTCGCTTAAGATCAGCAAATCCGATCACAGGAACAGGAATAAGACGATTAGGCGCTGGGTTCTCTTCACGAGCCTAAAAAGACATCATATAGAGATTAAAACTCAGAGTTGATAATGGAATTGCAAGACGATTTCTTCCCCCCCCCCCCCCCCCCGAAATCACCAACCTGTTGCCATACGCGTTTGTCAAAACCCGCTGGTGGAATCTCCAAATAAGCATTGATCTGAGATGCCGAGGGAGCTAATTCTGGCATCAGACGGCAAACAAGGAGTTGAGATTCAAGTTGGGGCTTCACAGTTGCGCTACAAAAGAAATTTGCCAGATCGCTTGCCGGTATGGTATGTGATGTTCCTGAAGAAAGAAGAGCCGAGTAAATTAACAAACAAATAGCAGACTCCCAAAAGTCAACATCGAATCGCGGTTATAAATAGTATGATTCCCTTAACTAGAATTATGCAATACAAATAAAGGATACTAGCTATTGCTATTAACAATTCCTCAGTACAACAAATAAAAACCGAACTATATTCAAGAATTCCCGACAAAGCAAAAAATTTTTCCGTGAACAAGCTGCTTAATAAAGAGGCTCGGCGAAAGTGGCTCACGTCGTCGCATAGATAATACATGAGAGCTTAGACCCAAACAATCAGAATCAAAGTATTTGGACACAGTAGCTAGTAAAAAATACTCGAATCTAAGTTTCTCATAAAAAGTGTTGAAATTTCGCCATCCAGACTTACGCTCACAATGAATTTAATAGCCAATCTTCAAGTTCATGGTAGGTAATAAATAATACACAAAAGGATTTAGGATTTAAACGTCCTTTACTTTCGACTAGAATGCGAGATTTATTTATATCAAATAGCAGGCTTTATGATAGCTGTCATTAGCCCTTTAGTTGACTTCGGGCTTCACAGAGGGGGAGGAATATCAAAATCACAAAAGGTCGAGAGGGGGGGGGGGGAAGGGAGGGTTTGCCACCGACACCAAGGTAGAAATAGATAAAGCGAATACTGTGGAAGTGGTCGAATATAGAATACATTGAATGCAAAATAATAACCGGCAAATAAGCAGACATTTTTAATATATGATAATGAAAAAAATAGCACAAAGAGGAAAAGAACCTCGAAAGAAGTCGAAGTGTTGAACTATAGACGATTCTGCAGCGAAAATGATTATCAATCCAGCTCCAAAACGAATGTGAGCTTAAAACTAAACAAATCGAAGCAAAATTCCGACTTTCAAGATTCGCAATAAATGAAAATGCGATTTTAGAAACAAAATTTACTTCAGCATATTACATACAGCCATATTCATTTACAGCAAAAAAATAATGCTTTATGATATATACTAACCACTCACCAGAAGCCTGACGTTCAACAACTTTCACAACAATCTCGGTACTTGTTCCCGATCTAGCACACGGTCTAATTTCCTCAATAGTAAGTTGTAAATTCGGTCTCCCACCGAGAAGTCTGAAAATGTGATCCTGAATAGCCTGCTTCTGCGGAATGACATCATTAAAGTTCTTATTCAACTCCATACACACGAGGCCATCTGCTTCAGAGCTAGTTGGCAACACATTGTAGGCGATGCCCCGGAAACGAGAAAAAGGGTTGTCGGGGCTGTAGTTTACAGTTCCAAGAGCAGAAAATCCAGTTCCCATTCCGAGTATAGCTTGAAGCTGGTTCAAACGAGCTACAACATTGTCCCTTTCGTCACCGAAGAGCACGGGCTGGGACAGAGAGGCGTAAAACGCGTCGACAGATTGGCGAGCTTGTAGCTGTTGCTGCTGCTCAGCTACGTTTTGCGACACTGAACCATTTACCGATTTAAACCCGAAAGTTGCTTGCGTGGTCTGAGCAGGTTGAAATGAGAATAGAGAACCTGGTTTAGATGATGTAGTATTGGAACCAAAGGTATTTCCAAACAAAGAAGAGGGTTTTGCTGCGGCTGCGGAAAAACTGAATGAGGAAGCAGTGGATGATGTAGCAGTATTAAACCCACCAAAGATACTCGTTGTGGTTTTAGCAGGCGAAGCACCAAGAGTGAAAGCAGAGGTTGTTGCCGGCTTAGCACCAAAGCTAAAGGCACTAGGGGCTGGTGTTGCAGAAGCTCCGAAAGAAAGCCCACTTTGAGTAGTTGAACTGCCAAATCCAGGAGTTTGGGGGGCCCCAAATAAAGGCTTAGAGGTATTTCCAAACATGATCAACGATGAAAACTCAAAAAACTGGGCATCCTTGATTGGCTGAGATTATAATATTAATAATTCAAACAATTATTGAAATTTCGAGGCTAATTATGTAAGTATTTTCTTAACATAATTTTACTATAAATGAACGATTAGTTCACATTTATAGAAAGACCTTCTATCTATATGTATACATGCCAGTTTTTCTAGATCAAATTTGCAAGCGCGATTCTCTTGTGACTGTAATTTCATTTTGAAAATTTACAAATTGAATGATTATAATGAAGCATATGTACAAAATTTTCGATTAATAATCAACCTGGAACTAAGAAAATGCGTAATCTCTTCTTATGAACAAAAATAACCCTCAGTATGGCTCCGTTGTTTGCTATTTATGCCTATTGAGACAAATGATCAGGACCGTTTTATAGGCAATAAACTGACTAAGTATTGTCCTGTAAATAACCACAACGGGAGTTGATTACTACTGCAAAGGGCTCAACGATTCGTTATTAATTTTAATGAAAGATTTTAGGAAAATAAACGTTTAGATGTTATTCTCACACACCTACTTTCTTGCCAAGATCATACAACAATTTTACCTTAATCTTAGAGCCACCATGATTTTAATTTTTTTCATAAATTCATTTTAAGAACATCTACTACCAAAAGCTTCAACCGATTAGCAAATCTTTGAGTGACTTGTTATACACACTGAATTAGACGGATTTTCAATGTATGCTAAAGGTTTGGTGACAGTTTGTATAAAGCCCTTAATTTAAAATTAGAAATTAGCCCTCTCACAAGCTGGTTTAGAAGTTAGCGAATATGTAAATTATTTATCTGCGAGTTGGAGCGATAGTTGAGACAAAGGCAAAATAAAATAAAATGAAGCGAGAAAAAAGATAACAAACATCGAAACATTCTATTTAAATGAACTGTAATAGTTTTACAGATTTATATAGAATATAAAAAAATTAAATTAAATTGATTAATCAAAGATTTATTGGCAAATTAAGTACAGTTCAAAACTTAATAGTTCCTAATAATTTGACCTAACTTCTTGTTATTATCAAGTTTTCCATTGAGCTCACTGTTTAGTGCTGTAATTGGAACCTTTATTTCTTCAAGGCTAGTTATACTGCGATTATTATTCTTTATCGGTTTTTAAATTGATACATATATTCGTCTTGGATATTTATTTATGATGCCGTTTAAGGTTACTTGTTTGAATCTAAAATATCATTCATTTTAACTTCAGATGAGTCAGGAAACAGTTGTAAGTAATGTCAAAGCTCTCCTGGATGAATATACCACTATGGATTATGTCTTTCCGGCTATCCTCATTTTTGGCACTTGTACGATGTTCTTCTTCATTCTCTTGGTGATTTTCGGCAATGACAAAGTAAGTCTTTTAATCTCTACACTTCTTTGTTATGTTGGCTCACGATACTTTCAATGACATTTGATTGAATGCGCAAGTTCCCGGATCTAGGTTCATAAATAAATTTTTTGTAACTGCGTCAATGAATAAATTGTCATAATGAATAACTAAATGAATCGTCTTATACAGTCTGAAATAGATACACCAACTCCAAGGGTGAGTTGTTTTGAGCACTCGCGCGTAGTTGTTATTTATGTTCAGTAACTTGTTACCAACCTTGCCTGCATACCCATAACTAACTTGCATGCATTTTAGCCTATTAGTGTTGTGAGTTTATTTGTTAATCCTTTTTTTCCTTATATATGTGCTTTCAGATTGAAAAAATGAAAAAGGCAAAGGCGACTTAGATCAGCTTAAAATTTTACACGTTCTTATAACATCACTTTGTAAGTATTTGCCTGTTGTATATTAATCTTTTCTCTTTTGGTTTGGCCTATCTATTACTATTTTTTAAATACTTCTTTAAGGTGCATCGGTGCGATTTGTTTCGATGAGGCATCTCTCGAATCTCCACCTTAGAGCTTCCTTCAATTTGTAAAATTCCACAACATCCCTTTTTCTTCACATTACCCCAATTCCACTGTACATTCGTTTTTTAATAATTTACAAAATTTATAGAATTAATATAATCCATGATTTGTTATGAAAGATCTTTAAGTTAGTATTTTTGTTTGATTGCATTTTCTCATGTTTTCTTGGACTTTTAGAGGTCATATGGAAAACAATTGCGTACACTTTGTCATGCTTGCCTTGATACGGCTTTTAAATTTGCATAGTTTGTTTAATCCTTTAATAGCTTGAGCTTATCTTCTTATATTCAATCAATACGGAACGAGGTGTTCCAATGGACCGTTTGGCTGCGTTTAAGTCGTGGATGTTTATATGCAATCGGTGTTTTTTAGAAACTTGCGTGTCGGCACGGCTAACAACATAGATGCGAGCAAATTCACGTGATTTTGATGTGACCATTCTAGGCATGACTTTTTGTTCTTGTGTTTTGGTTTTGGGGACTAATTCTGGATCTTTACTTTTTAGGAACGCATAGGCAATTATACCATTTTCAGCTAGTAAGTGATCACCTTTCTGCTTGGTACAAGATTACTAAATTTTGCGGGCTTACTTAATCTATTAGTATTGATTTGTTAATTATTTAATGCAAAGCAAATTAACACATAATTTTTTAAGTGGATTCGATGAATATGGATTGGGTTGTGAAATAGCTAATAGAAAGGCGATGCGAGAGGGGAGTTGAGTATCTGCTTGACTTATTCTACCTCAAAATCCCCTCCCCTAATGATAAGGCAAATGAGCATGAAAGTGGGGCTTAGAGTTTCTTTTGATTTGTTAATTATTTAATGTTGTTTATAACAAATGGCAGGCGTTTCGATGGTTACCATTAGCCCTTTAGTTGACTTCAGGCCTCACAGAGGAGGAGGAGGAATATCAAAGTGAGAAGAATTTGGGAGGGGAAAAGAAGAGTGATTCATAGATGTAAAAGAGCCAGACAGACACAAAGGCTCAAAAAAGAGTAAGATGAGTGCTCTGAAGGGGTCGGATATGACATACAGCGGGGTCATGGTAGTTTGAAGTGAGAAGTCAACTGCCAGTTAATAGACTTTTGTGGCGTATGATTACACATTGGCCAGGGTGCACCACGAGGAGGTAAGTCTATCCCACACCCCACTATTTAATGTAAAGCAAATGAACGCTTAATTTTTTAAGTGGATTCGATGAATATGGATTGGCTTGTGAAATAGCTAATAGAAAGGCGATGAGAGAGGGGAGTTGAGTATCTGCTTGACTTATTCTACCTCACAATCCCCTCTCTTAATGATAAGGTAAATGAACATGAAAGTGGTGCTTAGAATTTTTTGTCTGGACCAGCTATAGATCGATACTGGGAAAATTGTGGCGACCACAATTCGAATTTTATTAAGCAAAAAATCTAATTTCAATTCTAGACAATTATTTATGAGATAAACGAATTTTTGTCATCCTTATTTCAGATTACCCTTTTGTCTCCTGTTCTGCTAAGTATCACATTTACTACTCAACTTCTTAAAATGGGGGAATATTTCTTGAGATTTAAAGTTCTAGTGGAATAAAACCCCTAGAATAAAATTCAATCGTCCATTTAGTGAGTTAGTTAATCCTGTGGGAGATATCATAATTATTTTTTAATCACTTTCATGTGATTTATGTGAAGAAGAGTAATCTACTTTAGCCGATACCAACTTAGCCAAATCTAAAATTCACCACTGTGGAACATTGCTTATAACTTCTTATAAAAGATAAAGATTTTTGGATGTTAATAAACAGATTTCCCTTCATACGTTTAAGTATTTCATTATTGATCAATTATTATTCTAAAATTACATTAAAATAAACCAATGTAAGGAATGCTAATGTCTTTGTGCCTATAGAAGGGCCTTCATAAAACCCTAAATATTGATCAGTATAAATGATAATTTTATTAATTTCCCTTCTTTTATGAATTTAGAGTAATCATACTAGACGAATCAAATGTGTATGAGGCATCTAGTGCTTTGCTCTCAGCGTTAGTTTCTTTACATTTCAAAGTCGTTCATTCCTTTTGTAAGTTCAAGAGATATGCTTTCAACGCTCAAGGAGGAGGAGGAGGCCATTGTATGAAATCCCTCCACTACCCCCTTCTCGTTCAAGCAGCTGAGCGTTTTTTGCACATGTATCGAACTCACTACGCCACCCGAATGGACTGTATACTCTTTCCCCAGAAGGTGAAAAAAATTTGAAGGACAGCAAAACTAAACATAGTTTTACTCAATAATTTCACATATTTATGCACGATTCCCTAATGTTTCACTGCATATCAAAATCACCATCTCAAATAAGTATGTTCAATCTACACTTAAGGAGAGGTGAGTTTAGCCAGTTATTTCATCAAGAAAATGAATGGAGTCAGTTGCTGGACGTGGAAACAAAGCACTGATTGTTTATTTTGATCGAGAAAAAACTTCATTATGCAGGCTGCCTTTGTGCCACTACGGTGTCTGATCCTGCTAATCGTCCTGACACTGTTTATAATTATGTCGCCTAATGTGCATTTAGAGTGAGCCAATTCCATGAGGTATCGTTTAATGAATAGGAAGTCACTCCGTTATGTTCCATTATTAATAACAAATTCGATTATAACGTACGATTGAGTTAAAAACTGCAGAAATTAATCATATTTATGTATGATGTGGAGGAATCTAGCCACGTCTTGACTGAGGCAAATCTTAACTTGGCGAAGTAATTCTGCTTATAAAAAACGCAAAATCTTGAAAACAGACATACATAATAGTTTTCAAATAACTGAGAGATAAGTTTTCATTTGAATCCCATAGAAGAGTTGAAATCACTATCCCCCGGTTTCCTGACATCATACTGATCGGCGTGTTTTCAACGAAATTGTTCCACCTACGCATACTTAATGGGAACAACAAATTCTTACCTTGCAACATATAGCACCGGAAATAAGCGTTTTGTCCATACGAATCAAAACCCGAAAACTGGTTTGGAACAAATTATTTGACCAGAAAGCTTAAAATGGTTGAGCATTTTTACAAGTCCACTTCAATTAAAGGAAGTCTATGGGGTATAATCAATCCTAGGCTAACAGTTGTGGAGTGTGAATTTTTCTCCACATAGGCTACACGAAAATACAAATATCAATAATTTTCTCGTCAAGATCTTACACGCTTATCAGTTCTTAATTTTATGTGAATTTCGCGATTAAAAAATGATTGAATTACTGAAACAGGAAAATTGAATATAAGCATAAAATGAAATTTTGTCAATGAAAACAAATCCTTCTACAAGTTGTCGAAATTTTTAATGTCATTAAATAAAGTACTATTTTACTTTAGTAATCCTTGTTTTAATGGACAAAAGTATTTGGCATCCTAATTATCTGCAGAGTTGACTGAGGGGGGCGTAATGCCTTGATTATGGCACATAATTAGCCATTGTAAGTCCATATGCACCAGAGATGTTGCATATGGAGTCAGGGAGCCAGTAATTTTTTCTAAATTTCCGGAGGTGATTTCAGTTGCTTTCTCTTCATTGGTGTTGAAATGAAGAAAAAGTGAACGAAAATGGTCCACTTTGTTATAATTGAATTAGTTACCGGCATCCTACAATCTTGACCAATGAGAGAGGAAATATCCTGAAAGTGTTAAAATTAGCTATGTATTATTACTTCATAAAATTGAATAGTTAATCTGCTGCCCAATAAGTGTTGAAAATCCTAGATTTAAACTCACACAGCAGTTAGAAACATGAAAGATGAAACAGGCAATCAATTGTGTGCGATCAGAAACCAACATTTGAGTGGAATTCACTTAATTCCAAAATCTACTCAATTCCTTCTTTCACCCCTTAATTAACAAAGCAGATACTCCTTCATTATTCAATCACTTCCCTTAAATTTCATTTTCTGCCTTTCTCTAAATAATAGATAGTTAAAAGTGGTGGTCTGTTCTCGAATCACCAGATATTATTAATTCTCTATGTTCATTTATGCAAATATTATAAGTCATATAAGGCAAAACACATCTATCTACTAGATATTCTAAATGATTGAAATTTGGCCTGTGGATATTCAAGTGTAATTGAAGTTTAAAAATATATTCTTTGGAAAGTGGAGTTATCATAAAGAATAAATGATGAGTTTCGCCTAGTTTGCACTCTGAATGCTTCAAAACCACTGAATAATAAACTCGGCGCCGTCCAGTTAAGGTTCACTTAAGTCGTTTGGCCCATTTTGTTTAACTAAGAAGGTGAAGAGGGTTTATTTGACGCCAAATACGAGGACAAATTCCGAGAGTATTGTCGACTTAGCACTTAAGTGGGGTGATTGTGAAATCACGTTTTCATCACAATTCTTATAGCCCACGCGTATGATAGCGTGTGTGTACTTACGTCGGCGTGAGGAAAGCTCCTCGAAAGCCACTGATTAACTCGTTAATGCACCACTTATTTTCATCCATTGACAGTGGCTGTCATTTAATTTAAGTCAATTTTAAAAAGGCAGCAAAATGATTATGATTTTGAAAGGCCTAGAGATTAAAGTTTTTGTGGCCGATGGAAGATTGACTTTTTAGGCGAATTTGTACTTTGAAAGGGAGACAATTTGAAGGGATTAAGTCACGAAAAGCTTTTGTGGTAAACAGCCGTTAAGCCTTATGTTTATTGATTTGCAAGTGGATCTAAGTCATTCATTTGGTCTTTGATGTGCAAGCGCGTAGACACAACCTTAGCTTGATAGATATTTGCAAGCCAGATGATCGATATTAACTAAACGCACAAGACTTAATCTATTCAAGGTACTCTTTCACTTCTAATTTTTTTGTTAATGAAGTGAACTTGCTATGCATTGGAAATGAGAGAGAAAGGCAATTCAGAGATCCCATTTCAGGGAGTTTAGATGAGTTATTGGGCTCCTAAATTTTTATAAATTTTTCATGAAACAAAGTGGTTATGCCGGGGGAAATATTCATTGTGAAAACCGGGAGTTTTTAAAGAGGAGATTAATATCTAAGTATTTGCATTTAATCACCTTGAAACAAGACTCAAAATATACAGTGTTTACGTTAATTTAAGTAAACCTTGTTTGGTCCATAACATGAAGTCTTTTATATCTCCCAAAACTAAAATATGTGTGCGGTGCAAACGGTGGTCAATGAGCCTAATGTTAATGATCGCCAACATTGCAAATGCTTAGTGCGCATACTTCAACCCAAAACTCGTCAAAAAAGTTGTTATTTTTACATAATTGTTTTATTGAATAATATAGCCTTTTTAGTGTGCACGTCAAAAGCTTCACGCTTTTAAGAAGGGCAAAGCTTTAAGCTGTTTCAGAAAGTTACCCTGATATACGTTTGAGCTTTAAAATGTCCAGCAAATCTCTGCCAAATTTGTTGTCAACGTAGAATAAATTTAATTTCCTTGGTTCTTGAGAAAGTATTTTCATAACCATCGTTGCATTTAGTGCAAGAATTATGCATTTACGGAAGACTGTTTAACTAATTTTTGGAAAAAAACTCAACTCTTATTTTCCTTTAAAATTGAAACGAATGGGATAATGTTAAAAGTTAATTTAATGGGACTGCTTCCCAGTACAATGGGCTTAAAATATCGATCATGGATTAAGAATAAAATGGAAAAATATTATCCACTTCCAACAATTAAGTGTAGAAAGAGTTTAAACGACTTTTCAACAGCCGAATAAAGTTCATTGATTCAATCGTGACTTCACTAGTTTCTTAACAAAAGCCAATGAATTGCGCAGCTTATTTATGTGCCTGCAATCTGTGACACATTTCACATCCTCAAAAAAAGCATCGTGTCATTAAAAAGAATAAGCAGTCGAATTATAGAACTTTAATCCACCATCGAATAGAACAAAAGGGTGAATTTCGCTCAGAAATGGATAAAGTAATTAATTCGGACGTTATTTTTATTCATAATATTAATTGTTCAATTTGAACGTTGGAATATTACTAAAGAAGTTGTATAAACAGTCCTTCACTTTTAGAATTGTTCTATTTTTCCCATCTTTGTATTTGTAAATTTTACTAAATGATCTACAAAGTAAGGACAATTCATTCATTTTAAGCTAATTAATCATGGAGACCAAGGTGGAAATTAGAAATCAAATGCTTTTCCATTTGTACACAATGCAAGTTTATTTTGAATATCAGATTAAACGCAACTTCTGGCATGTGATAAGTGACGCATTAATTGACTGTAGATATTTAACCTCAATGTAGACATACCACAGTGCAATTCGAATGCACATTAACAGGTGATATACAATCGTTAGTATAAATAGGAAAACCACTGTTATATTAACAGATAGTCACAAGGCTACATGCACTCGATTCCGAGGATTATGTGTTGGGAGCTCAGTGTCGGTGTACCTGTTTGGAAAGCTAAAAGACTATAGAGAACGAGATTTATGGGTAATGCCATCACACTTTGTTAACTAGCGTTCGGGAACGGAAGAACATTAATCGAAACCGCAGTGCACCGGGGACCAATTCCGATCGTAGATTTGTGTGAATTTCGTTCGGATGTACCGAGAGTACTCAATTATGCTTCCTATTACATATCTAAGGACTTACAATATCCGTCTAAGTGTAGATGTGGTGTAGCAGTTGCATTGATCAAATTATAGGCAAGTTGGACCATTGGAACAGGTATTCATCCCATCACATTGGCTATTTGGATACTCGCGTGTTTAAGCGAAACGAGTAAATTTTGCTTAGCTCATACGTTACTGTAATCGAAATTAGCAGAACAATCAAGCATTTTTTAATCGTCCATCTTACATTTGTGATTGGAGGTAGAGAGCGAGAGAGGTGAGAGAACAGGACGTCATTGCTGAATGATACTATGACATGAATAAGTTGGATTTTAGTCAGACGCATTTGTTCTCGCAACAAATTCGCTTTGTCTTTAATAACTTATCAGTTTGAAAGGCAAACTTAAAAGTGAACTGAATAATAATATGGCAGGAATACGAATTTGAATTCAAGTTGGGAAAACGTCACAAGTGGGCTTCTTTGTGGTGTGACAGCAAGCACTGCATCCCATCTTAACTCACACTATTCTTGCATGATGAAAATTAAAGCAAAAAGTAGAACACGCTGTTAATAACTTAGAGAATATTGTTAAAAACTAAACTGCTAAACTGTAAAGCAGCTCTTACCCCACCTATTGAATCACTTAATTCCGACCTGTTCAAATTAATGCACATTTTTCATCAGGGTGGGTGGGTGGGTGGGTGGTGGGAGGGGGGTGGGGTGGGAAGAGGCAATTTTTTGACAAATTTTAATTATGGAAAAGGATTAGATCAAATGGCATAGCAGGCGATCCCGGTAAATTTAGAAAAATGGACAACAGTAAATGTGCCACGGTTTATGCGCAGCAAAAAATTAATTTACCCTTGTTTATTCATATGTACAAAACGAGGAAAAACCCAAACGCGACACCATAAAGATTCATGTTTGTTTACAAATTGTCCCCTATGTTCATGTCCACAATATCCACATTCTACTCATCGATTGATTGTATTCCGTGGTTGGTCGGAGCACTCCATTTTCTGTATTCATGTGTAGTCGAGTGCAAGTGGATGAGATTAGCAGAAATATAGTCCCTTTACAGAAAAGGCCAACACCGTTGAAGGGCTAATTGAAAACTACTTATGAGTTTCTTGAGCTTTTAAGGTACCAACAATGGCTGTAGTGAGCTCTGTAAAAAGAAACAAATTCAGCTTTACACAATCTTAAAAATATCGAACATTGTGAATGAACAATATAAGTGATTTAAATGGCTGATGGACCCGGGAAAAAGTGAATGGGAATTCACTCAAACCCGAGCGTGTGAGAACCGGGAGTTTAAAACTCGAATCAAGAGCATATTTAACTATACCAAATGTGCTGTAAAAGAAAGTAAAATGATATTATTTTGCTACGAAAACCCTTTTTTATCAGCTTCATTTCGATCATCTCTTGTTGACCAAATTGAATTGCTTTAGTGTTTATGGGAATTTGTAGTGCTACAGTATTAGAATTGTGCTAGTTAATGGCGCTGTTTCCAACTTTCAATTTGCCCGTGTCCTGAGGTTTTAAGTGTTCTTTTTTGCCCAAATATAAAGTTCTCCAATATGCTCTCCGGCTTTTGTATCTGACGGAAGTCTTGCTCTCATTTCTTAGAGCCTTCTACTAAGGCTATGGCTGATTCTATATCTATCATGGAATTTAAAACAGCGATTATGAAATATAAAATATGATCACGGATATAGAAAAGAAAATGGCAGAATTTATTTAGAAGTTTCATTTATCTTTCCTGTTGGATCAACAAATATATAGCCATTGGGAGTCTCTTTGAAATATCTTGGAATATGCGAAAGTTTTTTACTCATTCTGGCGTTCTCACTAACACGTTGAATTTCCTCCAACTAAAATTTAAAACATTGAATAATTTTGACTACTTTTAACGAATAAGTAGAATAATATATCCAATGTTTTTACTTTCGCCTTTTCCTGAGTCGCCAATTCAATATTGCCTTGCTTCAAGGCCACACTAATATTAAACCATAAGCGTTGTGATTCTTCGGGATTTTGTAGATTCACAGGTCGAACCCATTTCGGTTCAATTTCAAGTTTAGTGGTGTCTATAACTTCTTTGGTACCCTAGTAGATTGATTTAAGATATTGAAATCAATTTCCAATTTGAAATCTCACAGATGTATAATCCACAATCTCCATAGTGGAATTCCAATGACCACTAACATTAACGACGGCCTTCTTGGAATTTTGTGGTGTTTCTGGTTCGAAAATATCCGCGGATATTTGATGTAAACGTTTATTATTGGTCACCGTCTGTAAAAGAAAAAGGGGATTTTTAATTTCTCGAAATTAACAAGATGTTTGCATTTAGAAGGCATATCTATTATCTGATGTGATAAGAGAATTAACTGGTCAAACTTACCAACTTCTTCGGTATGCTAATTTCTGGCCATGTATTTAAAATTTAGCCTTTTAAAGGTGCCCGACAGCATAAATAGCTAATGATTAAGATTCCAGCAATATTAGATTAGTTACTGTATTTGGATTAGTACGTCGTTTGTGAATTAATGTACCTCCTTCGATTTCACTTTTTTCACTTACAAAACAACTAGTTTTCTAACTTATTTTTACATATTTCTGCATTCGATTATTACATTAGGCCGATCAATTCAAAGATAAACATATATTTTGTGAGATGGGGAATTAATCCCCCTTGTAAAGAACGAGAGGTATTTAAAGGTTCAGCAATTTTGGGGATTTTGAAAACTTGTTGTTTAATTGCAAATAATCAGCCAATAATTACGAAAATGTTTGCTAAGCTCAATGCAAGAGATCATCAAAACGTGCTCTCAAAACTTATAGATTTTAGAATGAATTACTGAGAAATTTTGATAAATGATCAATAAAATTGTTATTTGAATTTTGAAATTTAGAGATTTTTCTTAATTACATCTTCTTGCAGATCGCACTTTTTATTATTACTATGCTGACTATGGATGTCTCAAATATAAAAACTAAATTGTTGTTATATTTATTTATTTATTTTTAGCTCTGATAAAGTTGGGTCAAATATTTTGAGTTTTGTTTGCTTGACCTACTTCAACAATGTTCTTAGCTGGACGAATTAGGGGGCAACTTCTTACAAACAAATTGGGCCGAAGTCTGACGCCTTTCCTTTAGGCAAAAACGTCAGAACATATGCACCAAACACAACTCTTAAATTCACCTTTTGTTGTCAGGTGTTTCATAGTTTTTTTTTAATAAATACATGCAATAGAGGTTACTACGCAAAATGCACATTCTCTCGCTAAATTGGGAAAATATGCCCTTTTATTAGCATTTTCAGAAAAACAGACATTATTTAAACTGAAATCACGTTTAGTTCAAAGAAAGAAGTTAGTTGTTTTTAACTTGAAGAGCTAGTTACGATAAATTCATTTGCTTAATACATTACGTTGCGCTCATTGATCAATTCGATGATAGATCAGAGTTGGTCAAAGAGAACTAAGAGACGTTTGCAGTCATCATCAGTTGAATTGAATTGGAATATGCCATTTGAGCGAATCAAATTAACATTTGTGTGTCAACTACTGACAATATTTTAATTAGCACTAATAAAGTAATATTAGAATTCGACAAGGTAGTATAATAAAATGATATCTTGTAACAAAAAAATGGAAAATTTTGTGGGACACGTCATCGCATGCGCGTACACATAGGCTTGAGGTGCGGCTGTACAACCTCGCGTACGGATTGAGGACAAGAGCACGCAGCCAATAACAGCTCAAGGGCCCTCACTTGTTTTACCAAATCCGTCATGTTGTATGACTGAGTTCCCTCCCTATACTCTTCTTGCGTGGTTTATCGCTCCGTGCTACTCGTCTGTTTCCTTTATAGCTGGGCTATGGTTTAGCTGGTTCTGGGAGTCTAGCTAGATGTAGGAGAATCTCCCTGGTTCTGGGAGTCTAGCTAGACGTTGGAGAATCTGCCGTTCTGGGAGTCTAGCTAGATGTAGGAGAATCTGCCACAGATATAAACGCGCTCCGTGCTACACGTCTGTTTTCTTTATAGCTGAGCTATAGCTTAGCTGTTCAGTCTAGCAGATGTAGGAGAATCTGCCAAAGAGATTTCTGAGTCAGGTAGGAGAATCTGCCACAGAGATTTTTGAGTTAGTCAGGCTTTACTAGCGTAGCAATCCGCTACAATTTCAAGTGCAAAAAACAGTAAAAATTGATATTTTAAGGGACGAGTAAAAGTAAAATAAAGTTTCTTATTTTAAACAAACAAATGTTTTGATAGTAGTAAATTCTAACTCCCTCCCTTTAATTTCATCGGCAGATCATGAACTAAAGTTCGCTTCCTCACTCATCATGCGCGTTGGATTAACAAACGTGTGAAAATTTTAATCCTTTTGGGAAATGCCTCCCGAACTAGCATGTCCAGACTTGAAATCCCACCCTTTCCCCAGTTCCTCAAGTCTCATCAAACCCAACACTCCTATCTGTGATTTTTACTCAATTTTCCAGTTAAAATTAAGTGGTTTGACATAGAAATTCCTCGATTATCTATCCATAAATGATTTACATTATCAATTATTTTAAAAATAGGCAATTTACATGGAAACACTTTCGTTCTGACTTCCTGAATTCGACCGGAGAACAAATTAGCGAGTGCTCACCTTTGTATAGAACTTGACTTGCGCTACGTATCCGCTCTGAGGACATGTAATAGCAATGGTATCACCGAGTTCGAACCATGGCACTGTGAGGATAGATCGACCATAAGCATTAGGAAGAGTGAACACGTATTCTTCATTGTGTTCGCCCAATTTCAAGATGACTAAAATTGTGGAATAGTGGAAATATGTTTTAATTGCTACAGTTGTGTCAGTGTTAGTTACGAAATTTGTGTTCCTAAGTCACTGTTTAATTAATAAAAGCAATCTACTTTTATTATCATTGATAATTAAAAATTTTGCTAGGTAAAACTATATTATCTATATCATATTTCATATATCATATATTTTAAAACAAAATGTCTCCATAAATTTAGGCAAAGTCGAAATGAGAGCCAACAAATCAATAATGTCCTTAGATTGAATAAGCTAAACAGTATTCCTTTGGAATAACATTCTCGGCTCACATTGTTGCTATTTCTTCCGCAAGTAAATAATTAATAAATGCAAAATATTTCTGCCTTTACCTTTAAATTAAATTGAAGACGGCTCAAATCCAACATTTTTAAGATGAGCTGCACATTTATTTCAGGCAGTATTGTACGGACTTGAAATTTAAGGCTTCCCATAAGACGAATTTAATATTCCTATCGAGGGGTATGTGATAGACTTACCTCCACGTGGGGCGCCCTGGACAACGTATATTCATACGGCAAAAAAGTCTATAAACCGACAGTTGACGTTTGACTTCAAACTACTATGACCCGACACTATGTCCTATTACACCACCCACAGTACTCATCTTACCTTTTCTCTACCTTCGTGTCTTCCTGCCTGTCTCTCTTACATCTGTGAATCACTCTATTGTCCCTCCTCTCAAATTTTTTCACTTTGATGTTCCTCCTACTTTTTGTGAAGCCCGAAGTCAGCTAAAGGGCTAATGATAGCTATCGAAACGCCTGCCATTTGAAATAAAAATAAATATTCCGATCGAATTTGGAGGGCGTAAGTTGTAAAATGTCTAATCTAAACCTGAATGGAGGGAAAAAATGTTTGAGATGCAACTCAACGAAATAAATAGAATCACTTACTTTATGAAGATAAATAACCATTCATTTAAATTACTCTTTATAAAAATAATTAATCGCAAAGGATATGATCACTTAAATAAATTCCACTTGAAATTTTTGTCACAAGCACGCTTTAATAATACAAGATATTAAGAATGCATTTGTTTATTCAGTGGGCGTTGAGAAAAATGGGACATTTTGATATTTACTTAGATGTCTTATTAATTACAGATTTTATTTTCAATCTTCTACTGGAACTTTAGAATTTTCATAATTCTACAGCAAATTGAAATATTGTTATGCAAAGTGACAAAATTATGGTTTTTAGAAACTACACAACCTCAGCATAAACTTGACGCAGTAAAGTCGTATTAGTTTCTTATATATTGTAGATAAAACCAAACTGAACTTGTATCACAGCGCCATAACTAATGATTATATTACATATATTGTATACATTATATATATATATATATATATATATATATATTGAGATGTACTGAGGTGTTAGTGTCACGACGAATCCTTAGAAAGAAGAATATCTAATGCAAAAAATATCATTATGATTGTATTCCGCTTACACCGACTTGCGCAGTGGTACTACCTATCCGGCAAGTCAGTTTTGGTGCAATAGGGAAACTTCATTTCCGGTGCATAAATGTCTGAGCAGTAATTGAAAATGGTAGATGACTATGAAATGAATTTCCTTCTCTGAATTTACGGAATTTTGATCCGGTATCGAAATTTTAAAATTTTCTCACAGTCCTAAAATATTAATCTAGCAAACGCAATCACGAGACTTTCTTAAATCGTGTTTCTCAAGGGCACTTTGAGAACTGAAAGAAGCTCATCATAATCAAAGTGGAATTGTCAAATTTCAAAACATTNATAGCCACGTCATGATATTGCATTTTATATCCACACAGGGTGGAAGGAAAGTGTACCCTCTAAAATATTAAGACCTATGCTATTTTACACTTCAAGACAAATATTTTTTTCATAATTAATACTTAAATGTAATAGATTTTTATTAATGTTACCTTGTCCGACAAAATCAACGAAAATGCTAAGTCCTCGGAAATGCGAAGCCGTATGCACAGCCCCGACTAATTCAAGACGCCTTGAGGGGCAGCAGATTTGAAAAGCACTGACTGGTGGATGGTGTGAGACTTGCTCCCCAATGAAAGTTAGTAAGGTGGGTTCTCCTTCCTCTGTGGAGCGGCCGTTCTCGGCCACACACCCATTATTTACTTCCTTTTGCGATGATGAAGATGGTGGGAGTCGCCAACTGCATTGAAATACCTCACCGATAATGGGGTTGTATGGCTTCTTTGCAACTTTGTCCTGATAAGATAGAAAAGAGAGCATATATTAAGGCGATTCTAACTCTAGCATATCCAAACTATGGTAAAAAACTATCAGAAAGGGAGCGTTTGAGAATTCACGAAGAAGGCGTAAAAGTCAAACGATTGACAGCTTTTTGATTGGTACTAGATTTTTCAATCACTCATCTCTAGAAATCAAGTCTTCTCACGATTCTGTTACTACCTTTTATAACTATTCACCCCACCTTTAAAAAGGCTTACATTTTGCAAACTTTGGAAGGAAAAGATGGAAGACTTTTAGCTCTTCCTATGTACTCCTGTCGATATATATATAGTCAGTAAGGACATTAAGTGATAGAGTAATGGAGTATGAAAAAAGCATGTTAAAGTATATTTAAGAGAAATACGTGGGCTTAAAATATAACCCTGTAACGCCCTGCAGGACCGTACTATCCTCTGTCAAAATAAGTTCCATTGGCACTAGACTCGTAACAAAAGGCGCTCTAGTCCTTTGAAACGCGTTCAATGCGTCTATGGTTTTCGCCTGATGCATCACCAAAACACATCATGTTGGCGGCTTCAGTTTGCTGTGAGGCACGCGTGAGTACGGTTGGGGTGCATTTTTCATGCAAAAAAACCAATTGGACGTTAAAGGAATATAACTGAATTTTAAAATGGGGAGATGAAGTTCATTAATCGAGTTATTCCAAGATTCTCATGCTTAAACAATGCTGTTTTAAGAACCATTCAAGCGAGTAAGTTTAATCATATCGCATATTTATTTATTTCAAATGGCAGGCGTTTTGATAGCTATCATTAGCCATTTAGCTGACTTCGGGATTCACAGAGGGAAGATTCATCTAAGTAGCAGAAATTCGAGGGGTGGGGAGCAGAAGGGCGATTCACAGATGTAAAAGAGGCAGACAGGCACAAAGGTAGAGAAAAAGGTAAGATAAGTACTTTGGAAGGGGTCGAACATGACAAGCAGTCGGGGCATGGTATTTTGAAGTCAGAAGTCGAATGCCGGTTAATAGACTTTTTTGCCGTATGAGTATACGTTGCCCAGGGTGTACCACGTGGAAAGTTGCATTAAGCGCTTGCCCCTGGGATCATGTGATATCCAGAGGCCATTTTGTATTAACTGTGAATTGCACAGTGGCGTGTTGTCATTTGCCAATAATGGTTGTGATTGAAATAATTTTTTTATGATATAAATTGTTTTTGACCTTAAGCAAAAGGTTCACCACAAAATAGTCACAGATAGTTACTTTTGCTCAAAGGGGTCTTGCAGAAAAGGGATGGCTAAATTTAGAGCTACAGATTCAGTCGCTAATGCCAAACGCGAACACAAACAGATAAATATTCAATTTTCATTTAAGAGACTGCTATCGAACATTCGTAATACGCTTGTGGAAAACAGACCAAATGAATTGTGAAATGCTTTCCAAAACATGTTGACACGTGCTGAATTTTTGTTGCGAAGTTCATGATAAATACTTTTAACACTTGCTCTGAACTACGGAATGTTGGCTTTTATTTGGAATATTCTATATTTAATACCTTTAAATGAAAGTAAAGCATCAAGTTACCTCATGTATTCACACGGAACATCTTTAAACTTGGCCATCCTTTGTAAGAGATTAACCTCAAAATTGTGAATATCAGCTTCTGACTTGCAGGTTTTTGCTTTAATGGACCAAATGGCTTAGCCCAAACCATATTATCACGCAAAAATCCTTTCCACCAGTGAAGCAATAAGTCCTGCGGTCGATAACTCACGTGCACATTCAGATAGAGAAATGACGAACTATTTGTTTTTGTATTTGTAATAGAATAGGCTAACTAGAACAATAAATATGCTGCTATTGATTGTTTTTTGTCTATCTATGAATCGATTTTGGTAAGGCATAAAAGTTGCACCCCTTTTCCCTACCAAGGTTAAATCGGCCACACTTTGATTGGAGCACTGAATTCCTTAGTATTTAACTCAAATTACTCCATAAAGCATTTTTAATATGAGCTTTCGAAACGGTACAATTGTCGATGAGTAACAAGTTTGAAACTGAGTAAAGATTAAAAATTACTAAAATTTGGAAAAAAACCATACAATTTTGAAGTTATTTAAACTTTAAAAATGCTAACTTTTGGGTTTAGTTATTAAATCTTAAACAGGTCTTTCAAGTAGTATTTCCCTTTTTTCAAAACAATCTTTTTGTTATTTTATTGTTTAATATAATTTGCATTGGTTTGTTTTAGTTGGACGCCAGACTGGGAGTTTATTATTCAAATATCATTTGGCATATGAAAAATAGGCCAATAAATGTTGTCATTTTCATAATTTTCTTTAGGTAAATGTATAATGTTTAATTAAATAATTAGGAATAGAACGTATTTTATGTTAGGACGAAATGATTGTGGATGGCGTGTAATAGCAAGTAATTTAAACATTGTAGCGGATTCCAATACTAAAAAGCCTTGGCTTTCACTCAGTAATCTCTGTGGCAGATTCATCTGGTTTTGAACAATTTGTAAGAATAGATAAGCTATCACAAAGGTATAGAGGAAACTGATGAATGTCATGGAATAGGGTTATCAGGGTGATGGTATATTGGAGGTGCGTATTTTGTAGTTGACTGAAGAGAACTAACACTTTTGAGTAAGATAACCGTGTAATGACTTTGGCTATTGTTATATGACAATATTTAAGAACGAAAAGTACTTTAACGTTTTTTTTCTACATTCCATGTGTATATGAGATTTACTTTAACAGGGGGTGGGGGGGGGGAGATATATAGCTAAGCTATTTAATATAAAATAATATACGAAGAATTATTTTGAATTTTAAGCTCCAATAAAACCGGGTATTTTTAAAACGTGGTTTTTTAAAACTATCATTCAATATGGACACCTCAAAGGATCATTTGGTGGTTGATTTAAATTTACTAATGGTAATATTATCAGATAAATTCGATGCAATCAAAGCAATTACTTCCCTTTTGAACATTTTGTACGTTTTTTTTGAAATTTGCACATTAACAAGTAAATTGTAAAACTTGATCTACATTTTATGCTTGCCAAACAAAGAATATGGCAGTTATAAACTCAGTGAGTTTAAAATTAATTCAAAATAACTTTGCCGGGTGG